AAAATTCCCAAATTTTCTCACCAAAAATACACTCCCGAAGCTATTTGTCGGGTAAACTGAAATTGGCCAGATATATGATGAGTAACTTCGTTAAATAAGATTTTAAATGGTTTTGATGGTATTTTTTCTATAAAATCAAGACCATGTCTGTCTCTAGATGAAAAGGGCTTACACCGTAGTGCTTAATGGTGAATGATCTGGAAGGCATTCATACATACGACCATTCCTGGGATCCAAACCTCACCCGTTGAAGGACCATGGTAAGTTAGTTGAGTTTTCAGTAGAAGGTTTACCAGGTACATCCTGAAAGATCCCCCCACGTGACAGTTTCGATTGGTGGACCAAACTCTTCAAACAACTGGATACTTCCAGAATTTCGGTCAAGCAAAAACTGTCTGCAGTCTAAATGTAATCATGAAGTTGACTTTGTCCTCGTTGAATAAAGTCAAAATAACCTTGTTGCAGTTCTTGTTTCCGGTCATTTTGTTATCTCGAAAAATGTTTAAAGAATGTCGACAATCATAGCTTATGCAAGGTTCATACAACAAGTCTGTGAGATTCATCCTTCATTTATGATACCATGAAAGCTTAATTCACCCTTCTCCACAAACTTCATTCGATTGGGCCAAATACACAGGTATTTGATACTCAACTGACTGTTATACTTTTCATACTACCTTCATTATTTCTTGAAAGTACAGGACTAGTGATAAAGTCTGCCTATATGTTACAAAAGATAACTTTTACAGCAAACTCTATCTGGACACAGTGATTAAATCACAGAACAGTAAATTTCTATGAGACAGTCAACTGCAGAAGTATGTATTCAAGATTCGAGCTTTTCAGTTTCTCCTCGTGAACAATAAATGGCGGGATAAAACGCTGCAAATTACGACCCGCCTGAGGTGGTCATTTGCAAATCGAGAATGTGCCTCGTGTGACTTACTTAAGTAGAGGCGAACACGTCCCCAATGGTGAAGTAGTTTTTTTATTGATGCAGACTGTATCAGTCTGCTGCTGCACACAGGTTTTTACTAATTAACGAAGTTGCTTGGATGTGATCAAATCTGCTCCTAATTTAAAAATTTGCAATCAGAGAACTGTTCCGGGCTACACTAGTTTGTTGTACATGTTGACGTCAGGCCCCAGCCCAAAGATGGCTAAAAGCATTTTTTCTTCTAAAAATTGAACTAATGCTACCTCAGGACAAGCGCACGCTGGTTCGCCAGTTTGCGAAGTTTACATAAAATTAATCTGAATGTCTTGTATTTATCTAACATTTCAGGAGATAGATACAAGTGCTTGCCTCAGAAGCGAACCTCTCTGGAATCCAAGCTGTGCCTCATGCAATGTGTTTCAGGAGAGCAGTTAGAAAACCTGTTGTGCTTGAGGCCTTGTTCATCGATCTGCGTGGTGTTTTTTTGAAGCTAAATCAAAAGTAGAACAAGCTGAACAACGAAAACACAAGGTTTCGCGTGACTGCGCTTATCTGGTGAGCAACAAGAAAGGCAAAACGTGTCGAAGAATTTTCAGCAACTTTATGAGTAGTATATTGGGTATGTGCACGTATTGCAATTTTTGAAAATCTTACCAATTGAGACATGAGGCGGTCTGATGCAGCAGATTCAGTTGCTTGAAAACATGATACACGAGAAATTCACTTGAGTCTCCTGTGAAAACCGAATTGATTTGCGAACGAGTGTATTTGTCGAAACCAGTCCGCTTCGGGTTCTCATAGAACATAAAGTTGACGGAAACTCGAGGACGGCGCCTACCTGATGAGCCTCAAGAAGGGCAAAACCGGTCGTGGGCTGCTGAAGAGTTTTCTGCAGCCTTGTGAGTAGTCTCCTTCATGAAAACATGACTGGTCTTCGAAAGCCTGACACCAGTATTCGAGAAAATTGAGCAGCAATCAGTGGATTCAATAGGTTTTCCTCCAGCGGTCTGACAAAAGTCCTTGACTATTTATAAATTTTGAATCCAAATGACATTTTGAATACAATTCACATTTTTTGTTATCTCCAAGCATTGTACGTTTCATCCGACAGGTATGTGGATGCAAAATAAATAAACACCCTTGCAAGTCTTCCGAAATGCGAAATGTTTTAATCCATCGACTTCCAAAAGCTGGAATGTTTGAATTTATGGGTTCCTCAGACCTTGTCTGATTTTACATGTCTGAGATGCGTAACAAATTGGCCGATAATTTGGAATTATCCCTGGATCTTTCGAATTACACCTGCCTTTCACGGCTCTCGGCTTTCCTTAATTCGAATCTCGTCAAATCCTCTTCTTTGCAGCGCTTGAATGACTCAAAATGTAATTAGAACTTTATAGTATGGTGCGATTACGCATAAAATGCTTTAGTAATGCAGATTGTTGGAATAACGACGGATCCGGAGAGAAAATATACAATAAAATACCTGCAAATGGAACGATTTTGAGCGCAGTGTTTTTTTCGGGAATTCCGAAATTGACCAAACTGCTTTTACCATCCTCAGCAAGGAAACATTTCCGAAAGATTTTACCTTCGTTAAATTCTAAATCAAACGTTTTCGTATCTTTTTTATATCCAGGGGACATCACTTTAGTGAAACAACAATTTGGCAAAACCATAGCACGTCTATTATCATGGCAACTAGTGACGTCACAAATGCTTTCTCTTTTTATGTACAAAAGGGCCAACCGTGGCCCCTAATAATCAGGAAGCTAGCACGAAGGTCAGTCAGTTGTAAAACACTTACAAACGATTGAGAAGTCATCATTTTTTGAAAAAGTTTGGGAAACACGTAGTAGGTTTATTCCAAGGCAGTATTCCTCTCTTGACACCAAAGAGTCAACATTGTGTCCGAATCGCCCCTCTGGGTTTGACAGTGCCACACGTTGGGTGCTCGCAAGCTTGTCAAATCCAACGGGAGGATGACAATTTTGAGAACGTAAAAGCTTCATCGGGCAAAGTGACTGCGTTACCTATTTAGTTGAGATTTAAGGGGGAAGGAGAGTCAATCATCTAAGCCGGGCTGAATTGGTATAAGGTCCTGACTTGAGATGTTTTTCGTTAAGACCGCCCGGCGAGTGTCAGGACCGATGGCCTACGTGGTTTCGGATCCAGCCTAGGATCTAGTTCTTCCGGAACGGTTCACTTGAAGATCGCTAAGGAATATCCCTCATACTGTTATCTATCTATATGGGCAAACTGGTACTAGGGAGAGATATTTTGTGAAGTTTTGTTGAGTTCGAAGTTCAACCACCTTTTGCCAATGATCCTGCGTTTATGGAACACCATCGTATGACTCCGCTCTCAAAATACTCACCAGTTCCATACTGTCGATTCTATTCACACCGCGATAGTTGGTGATTCCCATCGCCTCGGCCATCAACCGCTGTGATGTGAATTGTAGTTCTGTCTTATTAATTTCACATTCTCCACGCCTGCACCGCCCTCTCTGAGGCTTTCACTAGTGCTTGGTAGTTTTTCGCAGTTCTCTGTGGTTTGTTTATCGATTTCTAATGTTCAAGGCTCATTAGCTGTGGTGTTCAATTCCTTCCATATAAACTCTGCATTCGGTTTTCTGAAGACAGTTCATAGTGCTTTCAACCGGGAGGGGAACAACCAATCACACCATAACTCAGCGTAACGCATTTGACTTCTGTAATTTTAGTTGGATTTGGGCTATCTTATGCAGCTTTCGAATGCCCACAGATTTTTCGGTTTTATGGGGAATGACGGATTTGCCAATTCATGATCCTGGGGCCAGTAACCTTGCTAATTACTACCAAGTGAGACCCATTGGGCCTCAATTTGGGGCTGCTGTTTAAGCGCTCTCTTCTGTGTATCTCGCTACGACGGCAGTAAACATTGATGAGACAATAAAAGCACACACGATCTTTGGTTGTTCTGTTGAGTAGTCTTTTGGTGTCCTTGGGTTTCTGTGCGATGGCCGTTCTCAACTTTCCTCTGCTTCTGTACCATACAGGCCAGAAATTTTTGCGTGTCCAAGGCCGACTTTATCTCCATGTTAAACTTGATATTGGGGTTCAAACTATTTGGACATCCGTAGAAGTTGTTAACTTCATAATGTCTGATTACAACTCAAGTGTGGTCAGCATAACGCCACAATATTCTAGGCGGACGATCAAATCCAGCCAAATTAGTTTGTTTGAAATCCTTCATTTGAACATTAGCTAAAACCGAGGACATTGGAGATCCCATTTTGCGTAAACAGCTGTGTCAAAAACAAGCTGAACAGGGTTCAAACATACCCTTATGCCCCCAGCTATTTCACCCACCGAGAGCTGTGCTCGATCCTTGAATACCTCCAAAGCATCCAGCCCAGTAATGTTTGTCCGCTCTGAGAAGCATGGCACTCGTAAACTCATTCAACTTTAGACTCCGAACTTTCAACAAATGTTACAACTGCTACGGTAGAAACCACTCCGCATATGGAATGTTTAAAAGTAAAATGTTTAATGTGAACAATATTCAATGAACCTGTTAGATTTAATGATCGTTTGTTAGTGGTACACATTGGGTGCTCTGAAATACGTTTACTTAATTTCAACCGCAATTTCGGTGTTTTTTATTTGCAGCGGCTTGTCAGCGAATCAAAATCAGCCTCCAGCGTCACTTCTCAACTTCTTCGCTGAATTATTTTTTTCTGTTTTCTCATTCATACAAGTTCTTTACTTGGCGAAGTCAGACATAACAGGTTTTGACGGCCAGTATGATTAGCATCCTTTAAAACTAAGTACTGGCCAAGGCTTATGTCTATATATTTACATCAGCACAGGCGAGGTAGATTATAATAATTAATTAATAATGAAAATAATATACTATTCCGATATCACAAATGTTTTGTTTTGTTTTCCCATCAAAGAAATCCTATTGGTTGAATTTACACCCCGCATTATTGGGTGCGAATGCAACTTACTCATTGGCCAATTCCAGAACTATCGTAGTATAAATACGATAGAGTGTCAGTGTAGGAAAAATTTGAAGCATGTCAGAGGAAACACCAGGTCTAGGTCTTTACGATCGATATAACGGAAGCGATGTTCTGATTCACCAGCGTTTCGCACCACAAGTCACCCTGATTGAAAGAACAGTTTACCCTATATGGGCAGCTTTTGGCATCCCGGGTGGACTGTTTAGTGTGTATCTATGGAGTGGTCGACCCATGCGTCGAGGCGGGAGCGCGGCAGCAGCTGTCTATCAAGCGTGCCTCGGGGTGGTTGATCTCAGTTATTTATCTGTTCAAATTATATGGTATTTACACGCGGCATGGCAACAAAAAGTCCTTGATTATCCAGTTGTGTGTGAAGTGTTCCCAACCATATTCTATCTTGTCCAGTATCTCGGACCTGTCATGAATATGACATTTACGCTTGAAAGATTTTTGGCCATATGCCATCCATTTCGTTCACAACACTGCCTCATTCGATCTTCCGGACGAGGAGCACTAAAAATCATAGGGATTCTGACAACATTTTGCCTCTGTGCAGCTTCTGTGCAATCGATGGTGTTTGTATACAAAGAACCCACATGCAGCACACGGGATGAGTTGAATATGGAAGGTCACATTGCGAAATGGCTGCATCAGAACTGGACGTTCATAACCGAACTGTTTTTCTTCGTGTTCTTGCCAACCTTGTGTTTGGTCCTCAATATATTTGTCGTTCGCGTGTTGCATCAGAAATCAAACGTGAAAAGAAAATCGTTGCCGGTGTCTTATCGCAATGGAACACAGTCTGCTAACTCAGAATCATCTTACGCATTTAATCCCGATTCGAAACATCACATCAGTAGGAATATTCGAGCGAGCACAATAACCCTGGTTTGCACCTCGTTCTACATGATTATCGCCAATTACTCCGTGGCTGTCGCACTGCTGATTGCACTTCTTTTACCCCTCGGCGATCCAATGCTGTCGGATGAGGAAATCGACAAAGATCCCGTGTGGAATCTGTACTTCCGCTTGTTCACGATTCGCATTTCTATCGACTATTTCGCCATGTCTCAATTTGTGATAAAATTTCCCATTTATCTGGCTACAAGCAAACAGTTCAGAGGTGAATTTCTCAAACTTTTTCAATGTTTAAACAAAACACAACCGATTATGCACGGACGTCTGTCCACGGTCCGACAGACACTCACTCCGTCAGTTTCTGGTATAAGTCGTTTCACCCTCAATGGAGATCAAGCGTCACCTGCGATGTTACCCACCTCATTCAAGAAAGCAAGATATGATAAACAGACGGGTCAACTTGGTCCGGTATCACACAGACAGCGACCTTCTGCTGGAATGACGCGGTTAGTTATCGGTGCAAGTGGGGAGCGTGTACCTGCAATTTCATACTGAGGGTAACGATATTATATCATGTTTTCCAATCTGCTGTTACTTCACATGGACTCGATAGAGAGATCTGTACAGATCATGTCGGACAAGTGTGAATAAAGATAGTGTGTGCACAATGCTATTCGAGACTCTGAACTTTAGGCGATTTGCGTGAATCTAAAATTAGGGGATGTGGGACACTCAAGTTTCATGAGACATAACAATTGGTAAGGTGTTCTCACCAAGCGCCTCCCCTGCTTGAGGATACTTTCCCATTAAATTATGCACACATTTTAGAGGTGATAGTTTCAGTCTTTTTGCACGGTGAGCAATACACAAGATGCGTCTCATTTAAGTGTGCTCATGTTGAGATGGAAGGCAATTTATCTATCAGGTAAGATGTGCCCGGGAACTGCACATCTAAATCGAGTATCATCTTTCTTTCCTACTCTACACTCCGCATATTCGTCGGCATGCAAAGGAAACGTCTGATCCGTTCAGATTGATTGGTTTGTTTCTCACGCGAGATAGTGGTTTAGCACTTTACTTGGTGTGCGTGTGTGTTCTGTGTGTATTGCAACCCGGAACATTGATTTGAGCTGTGTCAGACTTCCATACACTTGGCATCGACGTCCCAAATTGTGGAAAGAGTGAACAGATGCGTGTTGTTTTCCCGTTCAAATCAAAAAATGATTAACTTATAAGTATACCGATGGGGTCCCCCTTACGAATTCATAAATGACTTAGGCTAAAGACAAGACTCAATAGTCTGGCGTGTTCACAGCCGAGCAATCCACATTTGTCTTCCCCAAGGGGCTGCATAGGGGGTGAAGTTTACCAGGTGTCGCTCAGGTGAACAAAGTAACCATATTGCCACCTTGAAAACGGAATGATAATCACTCATCTGTAACACGCTCTCAGTTTCTGGCTGCCATGCCACTTGAAGGAAGCACGAAGAATGGAATACTGCCAGGTTGCCCAAGCCATCGACATGGGAAGTCGAAAGGTAGAGGTCGGGTTCAAACCAGGGATCTTTTGATCCATGCGCTGGCTAAACCTGTTGTGCGACACCAAAGGTTTTTGTGACAAAAGTTCCAAACTGCTTACCAGCTTAGAGAATTCTGGTTTTCCGATGCCTAGTAAAACTGTCAAGGCCTCACATCGAAAGCGAATATTGAAACTATAAAAGTAAAATGTTTTAAGGGGAGTCCGTACATTCTAAACGGGTTAACTAGAGAACCTGGTGTAACCTAATATATTTGCTTAACGTGCAGAATGGTGTTCAACTTATGGGAGCCGTTATGAAACACATTTTGTCCAGAAACATTTTGCACTGATTAGAGAGCACCATAGTTACTATTTCAAAGAACTTTATCTTAGAAAACATGGTGTTGTTATCTTTTGGGCTATCACGATTTGTACGTGTATGACTCCGCTTCAAAGAAAAGCGTTTTATCGAATATACACTCATCTGCAAACTAATATGGTTCTCTCGAGAGACTCACCTGGAACCCAGCTGAATCTCTCGTTTAAGATGTTCTTAGGCAAATAGAACATAAGGTTGACGGAAACCCGGGGATGAGCCCCAAGAAGGGCGAAACCGGTCGGTGGATTTTCAGCAACCTTATGAGCAGTACATTACAAATATATGAAAGCGTTTTATGTTAAATTGCTGACATTTGTTTTATTAATCATAGTTAACGTAACCTAATTAGGACTATATAGTGTGACATTTCATTAATTCCTGCAGATTACAGGATGTCCATAACGTGGTTCCATGTGTAAACCAAGCTAAGCGCACTAGCCGACTGAAGACAACTTTAGGTTGATCCTTACATAAACTAGCATGATGCTTTACACTTTTCGAGTGCACACATGAACCAAGGGTATTTTATCCGACAGAAAGCAGGCCTCACATATAAGATGGTCGACAGATTTAGGCTCCTCAATTGGGTCATGGAATAAAAAAATTCGGAAGAATATCTACAAATCAAGTCTGCAAGAACTCAAGCATTGATTTTGACTATGTTGAATACGTTTTTCGTTTGGCGGTAAGAAGCCACCAAGATCCTTTACAGTGATGGAAGGATACCAGAAGTACGTCATCCAGATTATATATTTAAAGCTAGCGAACACCTGACGGATTCCTCTATTTTGTAGATTTGGTCCAAACATGGAGTGAGCAACCGACTGGACGATCACACATTTTTCCAGTATGAAAAAATTCAAAAACTGAGCTTATGTTTACCGTAAAAATGACTGTCACGAACAACCTAGAGAAGTCGTTCTTTGGCGCGGCCGTTCTTTTCAACTTAGGTCGTCATGGTGTTTACAATGGTGACTAGGTTATTGACTTTGCCGCCAGATTCCTAGCGGAAAGATCGTTTAAACGAAGTGGCCTAATGTATGGTAGACGGGGCCCATTAGCCGCACAATGCTGTTAGCTGCAAAACATTTGTGAGTAAAATAGAAAACGTTTACGTCAAAATGTTGTTTTTTATGTGCTCGAACCAAAAAACATCTTAATATACGCTCATATTTTTGCAGCTCACAGAATTGCATTGTCCACTGAAGCAATCGTGCCTCTGGCGGAAAACGTCTGGTGGTATGCTTTCCTAGCATCACTGATACCCCGGGATGCCTAGATGGGCTCAAAAGACTGGACTTGTACTTTAAACTCAACTACCTGTTTGTTTTGGTCCAACATGGGCACGCCGTAGCTTTTGAAAATTCGTTCCCATTGTGCAAAGATGCTAAATTTTGACTTTTTCACATGCTCAGATGTTTGACTAAGTGCATCAGAAGTGATAAAAGCCTCGAGATTTATTTTTTATACGCTACATTGCGGTTTAATTTTGAGCGAATAACCAGATTGCAACCATTCAATTTTTATATTATATTATAGTTATTTGTTCTCACCATTTTGCAATTTATTGTGAGGCAAACAATAAGTTGATCATCATAAAACGCAAGCAATGAGTAAAATTGTGAAGAAATTATTGCACTGAAACTAAAATTGCAAAATTTCGCGATAGGTTCTCGAATGACAGCCGTCTGCAAATGCTGCATTGCCGTCCAATACTTTCACTTTGGGCTATATATATATATATATATATATATATATATATATATGAGTATATCTGACCGCGTGTGAAAGAGCAACTAATATTGTTCTTGCGGCCTCCGAAGAGGACTTTAGGCCAACGTGCTCAGGTGAACACGAAAGTCCGGTGCCTAAGTCTTTTTAAAAAGCAATTTTTATGAAATCTTGGTGAATAATAGCCGTTGTGGTTTTTACCTACGGAGACTGCACACAGAGGTTTGCGAAACAATAGCTTCCTCGTATGGTAGGTTCAACCCTTGCAAGTAATGTGTCATGCGTTTCTCTCATCCTAACTTTGCCCACTGATCGGGATTCGACAACTTTGGTTTCCTCAGTAAGCAGGTCCACACTCGCGAAGATCAGATGCAGATAAGTGCGTAACATGCGACAACTGGTAAAGATGTTTTGATAAGTGTAACTTTGGCGTAGTGGGAAGCGGCTAAGGACAGACCATCTGTCGCTGGCATCTGGACGGCCTAAAATTAACCAGCTGCATAGAACGTGAAACAATGTGCATGTAGTGGTCCGAGACAGGTGGTACACACTGGATGTGAAAAACTTGGTTTGTGGGATATTAACTCGCATGTAGTTCTTCAAAGAGGCTATTGTTTCTTGTGAGAAAGTTTGGCTAGCAATCTTGAACTTGTACAGAGTTTAGTAGGCTGGTGCCACTCATGTAGAACGTTTTGGAATAATTGTTGTATGTGGTTGTAAGTACAACAAGAAGAAACTACCAGATCTGTACTTTAGCGCACCGCTTTACAACCTTCGAATGTGGCCGGTTCCTGAGGATGACCAACTGGTCGATGGTTTCTCATTTATCAATGGCTGCAGAAAGGTTCGACTTCAATCCGACCAGTCTAATGGCGCAAACCAGCATTTCACATGACCTGGCGAAAATTTTGAATGTATCGGAATTTCACTTGGCCGCATATGAAATAAAACTCGTTTATTTGTAATAATATTCATCCCACATCGGTTCGAACCCGACCTCCGCCACTCGACTTCCCCTGTCTAGGCTTGGGCAACCTGACAGTATCCCAGCCCTCGTGCTTCCTTCGGGTGGCATGGCAGCTAGGCACCGAAAGGGCGCTACAGCTGAACGATTTATTTATTTTTATTATTCTCCCAAATTTTCCCGTAATTTCTGCTACGGAATCACCGGCTGGTTCCAAACTCTCATTCTGATCCTAAGGCAACTTGTGAAACTGCATGTGTGGACAGATGTGATGACTTTCTGGTAAAATGGTCGGTCGGACTGGAATGCCTTTGTGATCCAGCGGCGTTTTTGAAGCGAAGTAGATAAACAGTCAAGCAGCAGCCTGCAAAATTACTACTAATGCTAGAATGTTGGTGCATAGAAAACTTCGTTTCACCCTTCTAAAAACGCGACGATAAACTGATTGTAATATGAGAATCAGGTCGGTTCAAGTACGTTCACTTCTATAAGCCGTAAAAATCTGACCTTGCGTCTGAATTTACAGCGATACATGGGTGCCGTTGATGATGCATGCGAGTATTTTGGACGCTTGAAGCAAACCAGTTGTTTTGCCCCAACCGATTTGCCTTCTCAGCAAGCAGATGGTGTGCGAAGAGGCACCGGGGCTTGTGTGGTCAAGGTGTATTTGTAACTTGGTATATTAGTTAAATTTGGCGCTTTTTACATGTGCTCTTCCCTAAGAGATGGCAAGTGGATCTACTTTCTTTACCCCAAGAGAGAAACAAGGTCGTACTTCCTGGAAAAATGGGCGAGGGTCTACAAATCAAGTAGTATCTGCTGATTTGCCGATATTCTTTGACCCAGTGAGGCCGTTTGTTCGTCCAAGTAAACCTCCAATGGCTTAATCATGGGGTCTATGACCGTTACTTCTGATGGAATGTCCTATTATGACGTTCCTCGGCGACCCGGGTAGGTTTTCCC